TAGTTTGCAGGGTGGAGTGTAGGTTTAATGCCGGCAATCTACGTGAGTGCCTCGCTATAGTAACAGTTAAGAGCATTCAGACGTACTCACTTCGGTAGTGCTCGTGAATCGCTCCCCAGATCCATACACCTATAGTTATAATGTAGTCTAATAGTTCGCATTGTTGATCGAATGTCGAAACTTCCTAATCGTACGCTATTTTGTTTAATGTTGCTTGTTGGTTGTGTTAGCTACAAATGAACGTTTCTAAATGCGACAGTACAGTACTGGTATGTGGGTTGTTAGACCAAGAGTGTATTATATAATACAATTTATGGATTAGAGTAGAATAATCATATGACGTTTTTGTGTAGACTCTAGAGCCAAATAATATTATTTTAAAAACCACGCCGCACCAAACTTGTCTGCGGCGACACGACCTCCCACGCGACTCCCGACTCCTCATTTTCTCCGGCCCGTCCCGTAGGCATGCGGATAGTGCAGCCTTTACCGGGTTGCTCTGCTCATCCTGAGAAACGTCGGGGCCGCGAATACCGATGGTAACAAGCTTTACTGGTCTTACTGTTAAACGGACTCGCAATGCCTCATCTGCAATAAGTCTTCACCACAGGACGTCGATCATACGCTCCGGCTTCGGCGGTCTAAACACTTTAATACAAAATTAGACACAACTGCCGGGTAAACCGCCGAGCGTTCGTGGCTGATCTCACATACATTGAAACCAATGTTTCCTGGTATTTAACGCTGTCAAGACTAATTTTGTAAAAAACATGTGCTAACAGTAGCCTTATCATTGTGCGAGTGGCGTGAATATGATGTAACGCCTAGTGCTGCCAGCGCGTCTCTTGTATAATGATAGGCAGTGTTCTTAATTACTGCTACTAAACTTAATATCTTAAGCGATGGTCGAAAATATAATAAACGCGAAGTCTTAATAGTTAGCGGGATTTACTTGGCGTGTTTGACGATTTTATTCGTGTCGGCTATGCAAGATTTGCGTGTGAACAGTTGGTGGCGTCTGTTGAACTTGGCGCTCATAGCGTGTTGGAGGAGAGGACTGAGTGAGTCTGGAGAGATTCTGGCGGGGTAGTCTCAGCGAGGAGCTAGTGGTCGCCGCTGTGTCGGTGCGGGTGCTTGTTCATCTGTGAGTGCCTAGGAGAAAGGAAAGAGACAGGCGAGAAAGAGAATAGAGAGGGGGGTTAGTAGTAGTATCCATTGGTTGGGGTCGTAGCGCGGATGTTGTTCGTGAGTTCCGTAGCGTGTGGTACGAGTAGCGATCAGCGCGACATGCCATTACACGATATTTTGTGCCGGTTGGCTTTTTAAGATTAAGCTCGGCTGGTCAGCTTTAATATTGAATTGCAAGACTGGTGTGTCAAATCCTTTACCCGGCAAAGAAGTAAGAGTCAGAGGCAGGTGTGAGCTGGATACAAACGGGCCAGAGAGTGGAGACAGAGAGACACACAGAGAGAGATTGATGATGGAGGAGAAGGAGCGAGGAGAGAGAGGAGATGAGAGGAAGAGAGAGCGGAGGATGCGGGAGCAGAGGAGACACCTGACGAGAGAGAGAGAGGAGGAGTGAGTGGTGTGTGTGAGTAGAGATGGACGAGAGAGACGATGAGAGCGATGAGCCGCAGCGAGAGATTGCCGTGTGGTGCCGGGTCCTCGCTGTGCTTTTCTCTGACGCTGTAGTCCTCGCCGGGTGTGCCATAAGGATCCGGGGACGAGAAAGAGAGATGAGAGAGAGGACGGATGAGAGAGACGCGGAGAACGAGAGGTGAGAAGATAACCTGAGAGGATGTAGACGACGGTTCGGGGCTGATTGGTTTGTCGTGTGTGGTTTGTCTTGGTCTGCTCGTAGCTGTTAAGGGCCCATGCATGAGCCGCTCCGGTGTGATTCACAATGTGGAGGGGATCGGACGGTGACTGGACCTGAGAGGATGATATAAGAGGCGCAGAGAAAGAGCGGGTTGGGGTGGCAGAGAAGGGAGAGGGAGCATGAGCAAGCAAGCGAGACAACGATTAGAGACTAACGACGATGACACTAAGAGGGCAGTGAGAGGAGATGGAGAGAGCAGAGAGAGACGAGGGGAGAGGAGAGAGCAGAGAGAGAGAGAGAGAGAGAGAGAGAGACCGAGAGGGAAAGAGATAGAGGATAGAGTAGGGCGACCGTAGGAACGATAGAAGATAGAGAAGCATGGCGGAGAGACAGTAAGCAGCTTAAGAAGAGAAGTGGTCGCGCGGAAGTAGCGTGATTAGTCATTAAGATAATTGATATGCAGAAATTAAGCAGGTTCTGCATAATTGATGAACTCACATATTCAGAAACCAAGTCAGCGCGCGAGCGGAACAGCGCGCATCTAGACGATCTACTGCGGTGGACTCTGTGGATGTGAGGTGGGATATCTAAGTTAAACCCTGTTATCCAAAATGATGTTCACAAATACCGCGTCGAAACTAGTGGAAGGCACAAGGATATGGTATTTCAGGAAAACCTTCTCAACCAGGAATGTTCCGTTGGCGTGATCGTTATGAAAAGTTGCCCACGAAGAATGGGCCGTCGGTAACTTAAGCGTCTTAAGTTTAAAAAGATTGGAAGCTCCCTCGTACGTAAGTAAGCAAACAACTAATATTGCAAGACAGAAAGTTAAGCCACTCATCCATTTACCTAGCAAGCACTAATACAGACGCTAAAAATAGAGAGCTGACCACGTGATAACCTAATATAACGCAGGCACAAACAACCTACACCATATTGTGACGACCACTCGCACTCGGCAGTCCAAGCCAACCCCTAAACAGTGGCATAAGTTGCATGTACAACACTGACAGTACAGGCAATGCCACTCACCTTATAATTAACTCACGAATCTCATTAAGAGCAGTAAACCTTGCTTATCAGATCCAGAATTTAGCTGGTTGGAAATTTCACCTGTGACACTTCTCGTAGCCATCATACTATCCATAGGCAACGTACTAGATTTCTAGCTCAGCCAAACCGGAGTCAAATTTTTTTAAGCAGTAACGAAATCCAATGTATAACCGCTCTCTGCTCTGCGAAGTCAAAAGGATTTCTCCCGACACTCTACTCTCTCGCACTCGCTCATCTTTCATAATAGCCCTTGACGTGTTCGGATCACTCATCCTGCATCCACTATTTCAATGTCGATATATGCTCCATCGAGTTCCTCCACTGATTCACTCATTATCACACTGCTGAGGCTCAGATCGCTGCTCTCGAAATAATTACACACAACCGAATGTTCCGGAATATGCACTGCTGATCCTACTCGTTCCACGCACATCGTTCTTCACGTGCACCTATCATCAACCTTTCCATCATCCACCTCGGCTCTTCCTCCATTACTCCGCTTTCCTCTGAAGAACTCGCTACCTGCTTCCGCTAATTATCTCCCTCCCAATATTAGAGATAGGTCGAAGGCCGATTTTAATTTGTGCCGCCATTTCAAATATTTCCTCCTATACCTTGGTGAAGTGAAGGGGAATTTCCCCTCCGTATTTACACAAATCATTGAACCTATTGACCCTTGACTCCAAATTGGTCATCTCGACTGTTCTTTTATCGCGGAATTCGTCCCCCCCCCGTGACGTCCCTCAGCCGTAATATCGTGAAGCCATCTGTATCGTCGGAGCGAGTTAAGAGTTTTGGCCCTCACTGTTGACGCCACGACACGGACGGACGGCCGGACCGGCCGGGACGATCATGCGATTCATAACATAGCTGGCATCTGACTACCGACAGATGAAGTAGACAAAACCAAGAATCATCTCGGAGGAAATGCTCCAATTGGGCCGGGGGTAGCCCTTTTATTACGAGTGTCCTTGCTGGCTTGCGGTCTTCGGCTGCGCGCCTTTCGTATTCTCTCACACACACCCGCTCTTCTCATCATCAATCTCTCCTTCGCGTTCTGCTCTTCTAGTCATCTGCCTCTTCCGCTCACTTGCTCTCTATCCTCTCTAATTTTCCTCTATCTCTGCCCCTGCGCCTCTTACATACATAGTCCGCCCTTCTGCCACTTCATTTCTTATATTATTCTCTCTCCCACCTAAATTGGCCGTTTTGTCATACGTCTTTATTTTTATAAACTAACAATATTGCCAATGAGAGGCAAGAGTGGGATGAATGAATTACGTTATGATTTATTTATAATATATAGTTCATTACTCATATACACACATTCATCCAGTGATGGCGACTAGCTATATAATTTGTCGTCTGATCGTTGTTACCCAGTGTGGCGCGTGAGCTGTAGCCGCTTGTGCAGCAGCAGCGACAACATCAGCGCTGTATGCCACCGACCATTGAAAAATTAATATTACATGATATGAATATTCTAATTATGGTGTCTATTATTCTAGCCTACTCATAGCCTACTATTCTATAATATACTATTCGACTCAGCACCTTATTACTATCTTTATTCGTTATAATGTGCTGCTTCCCTTTTTATATGCGGTATATTATGCTAATACCCAGTTAGCCTATTTCATGTTTTATGATAACTATTTCCGTATGTTTATGAAACTACATTATATGTCTGTGTCAACATCCTATATGTCG